GAATCTTCTTGAGTTGAGAAGCTCCCAGAAGGCAGATGCACATTGGTGACTGGTCCACACCATGGTTCAAAAGCTGAGTACCAGAGGCCAGATTCTGTAGCTCATCCATTGTAAACTGTATCACTTTGTTAAGATGACTTACAGCCAGATACTTGTGCCTAATAAGCAACTCAAATATCACATGAATTCTTTCAAGAAGCTTTGCACACTCAGGATTGTCAGATATTGGCCATCCATCAGAAAGTGGATAAGCAATGGAGCTCTGATTTCCATCGCATTCCTTGCATTCAATGCTAGAAATCTTCTCACAGCCATTACTCTCAGTAGTACTACAGTTGTCACCATCCTGTCGATTTTCCTTCTCAGGACAAGAATCCCATGCGTCTTTGAAGCAGTCCTCACAATCTTCTGTATGGTTCCCAGAGTAGAAATCATCAAGTTCAGAATGTTGCCTTTTTGATCGAGACTCAAGCATTTTAACAGCAGCTGAAATATCCAAAGGTTTCCATGAACAATTAAGCAGCATTTCTGCCCACTCATTGTCAATACCGTGAGGCAAAATTAACTGCATTTTGGGCATGAGGTTCCCCATGTGCTCCTGCACAACATGCTGCATATGAGACTCTGAATCTGCAAACTTCTCATTACACCGGCAGCAAGCCCAGAAATTCCATGTCTTATTAGCCTCAGCAAATGACAAAGCCTCTGTTAAAACTTCATTTGCCAAACCATCCTTAGACGAACCAAAATGAGCCTTGATGTCACTAACCTTAATCTTAAGCAAATCTCTTTTTGAATCAATGCTCATAGAGTTCCAATATGACCGAACACAATCCCTCCTCTCTGCTGTAGACCCATGTTTCCTCGCGTTCCCATATTTTCTCCTGTCTCCTCCTCTGCCCACACTCCCCACGGAAGAATCAAATCCTCTATCATTCTTCTCCCCCTCGTTCTGCAACTTGGGAGACTCGGACTTCTGCTGCAACAGCCTGGCAGCAGCCACCCTGACTTCAATCTCCTTCCTTCGTTCCTCAGGGGTCTTAGTGGCCTTCTTAATCTCGTTTGGCCTTCTAGCCTGAACTAACCTAACCTCCATTGGATCCTCGGTGACTCTCCTTATTGGTATCAGTCTAAACTTTTCCTCACCAGTTCCCAAGTTCTTCATCCAAGTAGATAGCGAGGCGATATTTGATTTCTGTATCAAAGACCTGAGTTCACTCTGCACG